TGATGAAATGTGACTTTTCCCTTCTCCATCTTCTTCCAGAGGAAGCACAGTACCTTAATGGTTTGCAAATAGCACCTCCTCGATTGTGTGTGGTTTGTTGAAATGGCAACTGTTGAATTTCTTTACAGTCCTTATTTGCTTCGGGTTGAAAGAGGGATAGAGGTCTCGGACTGTAGAAGCCAGGAGAAGAGGGGATGGGACTCAGCTCTGTCTGTTCTGACCAAACCAGACATCTTAGCCTCATTTCCCCATTTCCTTCTTATGGCATCCTGAGAGGTGGATCAGGCTATTTCCTGTTTTACGTGGGCAAAACCCTCCAGAGCCAAAGAAGTGACTGTCTTTTTAAAGGAACATTCTGATGTAGGAGAGTACCAGTTCAAAGTAGGCTGGCTCCTTCTAAGGCGTGTGTGGTATATATGCTTTCCTCTGTTCTTACCCAAATTTTATCTCCTTTTTCATGTAAAGTTTTAAGAAAATGTTTCTTAGGATCATCTTGTAAATATGTTGATCTTTATTCTTACCTACATAAAAGCATTTTCAGAAGACTTAATTTTACGTGCATGAGAATTTGCCTGAATGTATGTCTGTGCATCATGTACGTGTCTAGTGTCCCCACATTAAAGTCAGTAGAGGACCTGTACGACTCTGAAACCATAGTTATGAGACACCCTATGGGAATCAAACCCAGGTCCTCTGCAAGAGCGGCACATGCTCTTAACTGATGGACTGTCTCTCCAGGCCTCTCCCTCAGTTTTTGATAGGACTCTTATTTTCTTTTCCCTAGTAGAAGCCCCCAAATGGCATGTTTGCATACATTATGCCATTGGACTTGTAGCTACAGCTAGGTTTTCTTCATCTTGACCTAACTCCTTTTTAAAGAAGCTGGTCAGTAGTGAGAAAGGCCCCAGCCCAGTTCTGAGACCTGGTTAATTATCTTTGTATTGGCCTGGGTTCATCTGGCTTCACCCTCCAGATGTGAAGGCTCTGTGATTTAGAAGAAAGGGAGAGTCATGGGTCTCTTCCTTTCCGACCTGGGGGTAAGTCTGACATGAAAGCCGGTCTGATACCGAATTCTATCATAGGTCAAACACTTATAAAAAGATAGCATGCACAAAGACATCCAAAACCCCACGAGGCCCCTCCAGCATACCACAAGAACTTGTAGGGATTTATGAGCACACACCTTTGGGGGGGGGGTCAGCCCCAGGAGATCCCAGAACTTCTGGGAGCTACGGAATGTTCTGTTTCTGAAGCCAGGTGGTAGTCATGTACTTGCGGAAGTACAGTTCTGTATGTATACTAGGTTGATGTACTTTACTGGGAAACTTCAGCCAAAAAAAAAAAAAAAAAAAAAAAAAGGATATAAATGACCCTTCTGTGTGTGACAGGACACTGTTACATTTTGTTCACATCAGCATGTTCCTTGAGTTAATAGGGGTTTTCCCATCTAAGGGTCACTGGGTGAGGCTGGAACACTTGAAGGTCTTTCATGGGTTGGTCCTCATTTCATCTCAGTGTCCCAGAGATCCCTGAGTCATCAACTCAGGCTCCTGGTGTCACCTGCCTCCTGAAGTGCTATCATTACAGCTTTCCTAGGTCAATACAGGCAAGACAACTACTTAAAGTAGAAGATCTCCCTTAATTGAGGCCAACCCTTCCCTACAGTGGGCCCAAGGCAACCCTGCAGAGTTCCTGAGAGTAGCTGCAGGGGTCCTTCTCTCTGGCAGGGTCACTGAGAGTGGATGTGGTACTTGTCCCTGTACAGTGACCACCCGTGGTGCCTGGGCCCCCTAGAGTGCGGCCCTGCTCCTTTATTTTTTGCTCTGGGAATTTCCTAGAATGAGCTTCCTTTGTCTTTCAGAGGGCAGCAAGATCCCAGGGAAGAAAACAGCAGTGTTTTCCTGGCTCCTACTCTCAGGCTGCCTTAGTAATGGGTATGGGAGGAAACAGGGAAAGAGAAAGGGGTGTGGTGCTGGCAGGGGCCTTCACCCTAAGTGCCAGCTCAATGAGTAATGGTTTCTAACGCACTCAGAGCCTTGGCCTACTGGACAGTTCCCTCCAAAGTGAAGTTGGCAGAGTCGGGAGATAAAGATAACCCCTTTCATCAGTTGCCTGAGTCGGGCTCTGGACTTCTCATTTGGCAGGCTTTCGTGATTCCTATGACTCATTTGATTGCCCAAGGCATCCTCCGTCCTTCACATTTCACACATACCTCTCCTCCCATGTTCTCCTTTATCAGAACGGCTTAGAAAAACAAAACCTGGCACCCACAGACAGAAGTCCTTTGTTAGTATTCCTAGTCCACTTTGGACATGTTGCCATAGTGATGACTGTACACACACACACACACACACACACACACACACACACACACACACACACACAGGTGCACTCATACTCTGTGCTCAGTTATTGAAGATGCCATTGAGTTCCTTTTTTTCCCTTTCGTAGACATCAGGCAACACTGTTAAACAAACTGTTAATAAGTCCTTACAGCTTCTCTTGGCACTTTTTAGCTAGATTAATTTGCCCCTAATTCAGCTACACTTGGTCATGCCCTGTAAGTTGAGCTAACTTTATGAAGAGCCGGTGATGTTTGCTTTCAGGCCTATTCGTTGTTGGAGCTGACTTGCAATGCTTCCAGCGGTGGAGAGCATATTAGTGTAATGCGGTGCGTTAGTCGCTTTTCCATTGCTGTGATAAAATATAAAGCGACAGAGGTGGCTTAGAGATGGAGAGCTTTCCTTGGGCTTGTGGTTCCAGAGGGATGAGCCCACCAAGGTAGTGCATAGGCATGGCTGAAGGGACAGGGAGCTGGGGGCCCACATCTTGAACCACGAACACAAAGCAGAGAGTGAACAGCAAGGAGCCTTAAACTCTCCAAGCCCACCCCCAGTGACATGCTCCCTTCGGTAAGGCCACACTTCCTAAAGCCCCCGAAACCAGTGCCACCAGCGAGGGACCCAGTGTTCAAGTGCATGAACCCAGAGTGGGGAGGGCACCTCATTCAAAGCACCGCACGTGGGAATTGACTTCTGAGGCTGTAGGTCCCTTGATTTGTTTTCTGACATTTAGATACCTCACTCCATTGCTTTGATTTTAGCTTATGGCTTTAATGTAATCATTTTAAGAGAGCAAATTGTCAGAAAGACATTACAAGATTTGAGTATTTAACAATTAATGCCGCTTGATGTCCTATCTGACCAGTTGGTTCCTGGATAATCATATATTAGTCTTCTTTAAAAACTGGACTGTGTGAACATTCTAACTGGCTGGATTGAATAAAGTGCTGCCCCACTGTCAATGTGTGTGGAGCAGTTGTAGGAATTAGTTGAACTCGGTGTGTTTAGTAAGGTCCTGGCCCCTTCTGTAGCCCAAACCAAGCACATCCATTGCCCTTAACCCAAGGCTGTGGATGAAGATGGTGCTTCCGGGGGCTCCTCTATGCAGTCTCCCTCGGTGTAAGACTCCTTATCACTGGCTTTAACTGGTGGCAGCTGGCAGCCTCAATAGCTACTTGGAAGTGGGGGTGACTGTTCTAGGCCTGATGGGTGCTTTCCCCACCCCAAGTACTTGGCTATCCATGAGTCCAATACATCAGGTGGTTAATAGCTCTTGTTGCTGCACTTGGCCGCTAGGGGCACACCTATTCCCAGATCCTTGTTTAAAGGCTGAGATAGTGCTCTCCTTGTGCTGTGTGACCTAACTTACCAGAGGCTCTGTAATCTTCTCTGCAAAATAGAGATGGTACCCTTCCACCAGTCCTTGTGGGAATCCTTGTTATAACATAGGCACCGAGTAGCATGTACTCCATCCACTATTCACTGTTTAATTACCAGTATGTATGCTACTAGATGTGGGAAGTTCTGTTGCCCCTATCCACTCCAATTTTTGTTGCATTACAGATGTCTTTAGAAAGGATTTAAAAAAAATCCTTTGGGGTCAGCCTGGTCTACAGCACAAATTCCAAGACAGTCAGGGATACACAGAGGGAAAAAAAAACCAAAATAAATAAATAACAAAACTCACCACCACCACCAACAAAAACCAAAACAAATAGAATATCATTCACATTACATTGACCTCATCTTTTCAACCATTTCAACTGTCCAGTGACATTCAGTAGTTTTACAGTGTCATACAACCATTGCTACTGTCTAGTTCCAGAATATTTTCATCACCCCCAAAGAGACCCATAACCATTAAACAGTCACAGTCCTTCCCTCCATGACCTCCCAGCTCTATGGTTTGCTGACTGTAGATGTTGTTTTTGAAGACTATTGTAGCATGGTCTTTTCTGTTTGACCTCTTTCACTTAGCATGGTGTCTGCAAGGTTCCTCTGTGTTATAATGTGTGTGAGTCCTTTGTTCTGTTCCATGTCTGGATGATAATCTCTTACTGGCTTTCTTAGATTTAGTCTATGCATTCACCATTTTAGGGTGCTTCCTCCTTTTGCTATTATAAATACTGATATGAGCATTAGTCTGAAATTTTCCCTTGGGACTACGGTTTTCATTTCTTTCAGAAGTAAAATTGTTGTGTAATGATTCTTTGCTTACATTTTTTTTTTTTTTTTTTTTTGAGAAACTGCTGGACTCTGCTATGCCGTGCTGTAAATTCTATGTTCACACCAACAATGGATTCTAACTTCTCCACATCCTTCCCAATGCCAATTTCTTGTTGTTGTTGTTGTTGTAATGATATGACATAGTGTCTCACTGTGGTTTGAGAATGTTTTGTAGTACTGGTTTTATATGCACCTCCATTCGGGCTACCATATTAATGTTACCAAACCTGTCACCTTTCAAAGCTACATGAAAAACCATACACACACACACACACACACACACACACACACACACACACACACACACCACTGGGAGGGGTGGAGTATCTTTTGACCACCAGTCAGTGGTCTTCACCACTGTGGGCTAAGTAGATGTGATGTCCAACCTCTGTAATTCTCTAGCCTGTCTAATAACTTTCCTTTTGGTTTTAGGAATTTCCTCCAAGACTTCCAAAATGGTTTTTAGACACACTGGATAGAGCTGACACCTGCCTGTGTGGCCCCCAGCCTCTCAGTCCCTCCATCTTCTCATGGCATTTTGATTGCACTGAGCCCAAGTGACCAGCTCTTCATGATGAGTGATGAGAAGAACCTGGGTGTGTCCCAAAAATTGGTTTCTCCTTCAAGAAGCACAAGTAGCTGTTCCTCCAAGCAAGGGAGCCGACAGGTAACCTTGAACTCTTGTCTCTTGAAAATGCAATTGAATCGTAAGAATTTGCAGGTAAAGGAGTGTGTGCACTTGGAAGACTCCATCTCTCAGTTAAAGATCAAGCACTTGTTTTTGTACCTGGCTACATGATGAGAATTGATTCATGGTCCTCCGGGTATTGGGAACTGAATTTGGATCTTTGTGTTGTTTACTCAACCTTTGCAATCATCTACCAACACAGGTACTAGCGTTTCCGTTTTTCCCTCCAAGGAAGTGGAATGACACAGACCAGATTACCTGCCTCAGAGAGGCCCAGGCGCCAAACTAAAGCTCCACCTGTTTTGCTCCAGGGCCTACCTTTCGTTTTTTTAGAGACTTATGTTTTCCTATGTGGATGGGAGTTTTGCCTGCATGTATGTGTGTGTACTGAATGTGTATAGTGTACTCAAATGCTGGAAGATGGCATCGGTTCCCTAAGACCTGGAGTTGTTATAGCTGGTTGTCAGTTGCCTTTGTGGGCGCTGGGAACTGCACCCAGGTCCTCAGCAAGAGTGACACGTGCTTTTAACTACTGAGCCATCTCTCCAGCCCCTTCCACCTTTCCTTATACCTTATTAACCAAAATAAGCAGCAAGCACATATGCAATAGTTAAATATCCACCTCCACTTTCTTGTATTCACCGAACTTCCGAGGAAAGCATGTACCTCCCGATTGCCTGTGAGGAGCTAAAGCCTTGCCTGCTTTCCTTTTCTAATGGGTCAGGGAAGCTAGTGAAAGGGGAATAGTGACAGGAAGCAAACAGTAAAACAGAGGGCAGAATTAACTCCTAACTGGCAGTGGTCACAGTTTGCTTCTTGGTTTCCTTACCAAGGAAAGGAAAATATGGCTTTGTTGGCAGATCTTCTAGTGTTCAATCCGTGGCAATAAGGGCCTATTAATCACTGCCCTCCATCCTGCTTCACCAAATTGGGGGTGAGGGGGCAGGGGATGTTCGAGAAAGCTGGATTTTTCAACTGGAGAGGCCTTTGAGCTGTTCAGTATTTGGGCATTACCTTTGCCCTGTGGGAAGTTCTGGCCTAAGAATTTGCTTTTGTTCAGATTTGGAAGCAATAATTGAGCCACGGCCACCTCAGGAACGCTTTATGATGGTGATTCAGCTAAGTGTCTCTTAGTTTGAACATTTGTCTCAGTCGGGGAGCTTGCCACCCACAAGTCTATGATTTTCAGCCAATTAAAGTTTGCAGTGAGCTTGACTGTAGGGAGCCCTTTAAGATCTCTGTGGATAGTTAAGAAAGTTTTTGTTGTTATTGTTGTTGTTTGGTATTTATCTTGGTGTGTGTGTTCACGCATGTACAAGCCTGTTTGTGTCTGTGAGCACAGCCATGATGTGCAGCAGCATGTGGAGGTTGGAAGACAACCTCGGGTGTAGAGTCTTCCCATTTCTGCCTTATGTGAGACAGTGTCTTCGGTGTTTTCCCGATGCTTACACCAGGCTGGTTGGCCCGGTAAACCTCCAGGGACTCTCCTATCTCTGCTGCTCGTCTTGTAAGAATGCTGACATTTCATATGCTTGTGCTATGGTCTATAGTGAACAACTCAGGGCCTCATGTTTGTATGCTAGGCAAGTCTGTGGGGGCATTTTCTGGATGAATGATTGTTGTAGGCACTGCCCATACCAGCCCTAGGCAGGTACCCCTCGGTTATATAAGAAAACAAACAAAGCAAGCCACGGGGAGGAAGTCAGTAACCCTCATTCCTCCTAGTTTCTGCTCCCGTTCTTGCCTCCAGGTCTGCTCTGGTTGCGTTTCTGCCTTGGCTTCCCCCAATGATGGACTGTAATCAGGTTGTGTAAGCCAAATAAACTCTTTCTTCCCCAAGTTGCTTTTGACTGTAGTCTTTATCACAACAAAGAAAGCAAACTAAAATGACAAGCACTTTTACCCACTGACTTAACTCCCTTGCCTCTGGGATTTTTTTTTTTTTCTTTTTAGATTAACTTTGTTGCTGGCTAATGTACCCTGGGTCCCTAGAGATCTGGTCTCAAGGGAGGAACTGTGCCTGCCCACTTGGCCAGCTTCAGCCAACACTAGAGAAGAATGTGATTTGTCCTCGTACTCTGGCAGCTTACTCCAAGCAGCATACCTTGTTCTGTCCTCCTTTACCCCACAGGGAGCATAGGTCCAGTAAAGTAGCAATTGTGACAACCCCAGCGGTGGCATTTCCATCTGCACTACAGGAATTCCTTCTAGCACGTTCGATGGATGGGTTGATTTGGTTTTCACAGTGCTGTCTTCCCTCCCAGTTCCCACAAAAAAATAGCAAGAGGGTCCTACCCAGTGCTTCAGCTTTTTTTTGAAAGTTTATTTAGTTTTTATTTTATGTACATTGGTTCTTTGCTTGCATGCGTGTCTGTGTGAGGGTGTCAGATCTTGGAGTTACAGGCAGTTGTGAGCCACCATGTGGGTGCTGGGAATTGAACCTGGGTCCTCTGGAAGACCAGTCAGTCTTCTGAGTCATCTCTCCAGCCCACTTCAGCTTTTTTGACTACTCATAACACGGTCATCTTTTATATTAAGATCTTCCACTTTAATTTTCATAATCAGCACACACAGTTGTCCTATGTGCCGGTCAGTTTTTTGTCAACTTGATGCAAACTGGAGTCAATTCCAGGAGGGAACCTCGATTGCAGAATTGCCTCTGTCAGACTGACCTGTAGGTATGTCTGTGGGACACTGATTGATGCTGCTCGATGTAGGAGGGAGCAGCCCACTGTGGGGTGTACCATCCCTGCACAGGTGGCCCTGAATGCTATGAGAAAGCAAGCTGATCAAGCCATGGGGAGCAAGATAGTAAGAAGTGTTCCTCTGGGGTCCTTCCTTGCGTTTCTGCCCTGACTTCCATTGTGAATGGGCTCATCAGGACACATAAGCCCAACAAATCCTTTCCTTTCCAGGTTGCTTTCGGTGTTGGTCACGGCTGAAGAAAGCAAACTAGAACACTTTATTGGCATAATGTTTACATTTCCCCTGACTGAGAAAGTAGAGACTTGGATATATTTATTTTATAGCCAGTCTGAAGCTAGTTATAAAGCCTGTTTCACTTGGAAGGACCCTGTATTGAGTCTACCTACTGTCCCATTTTCAGACAAAAGAAAGTGTTCTGGCCCAGGATAGCACACGTTTCCCATCCATGGTTTCTCTGTCATAAATCTTTGTTTGTCTCGCACACTGACTGGGACACTGCTTGAGTCTCAGGAGCATTGGAAGCTCTCCCTTGCTGGCCCTTTGGGAACTCAGCTGTTCCCATTGCATCTGTCAGTTGCTAAATAAAGCATACTGCATTTCCAGCCTCATCACAGGAAGTGCAAGTTAGGTGCTTAAAACGGCACAGATTCCCACAGTCACAGGCTGAACTGTGCATGGTATAATGTTAATTGGTGAAGACTGTGCAGTCACCTCCTCGTATTGAAGGCGCCACTTTGAAACCCCTTTCAGGTTGCTCTGTGCTTTGCTTTTCTCTGGCGTGGATTCATCCCCCTGTTGACGTCACTGGCCATTGTCTGTGGCACTGGCTTTACCGTGTGCTCTGAACTATGGTTAGAGCCTCATCTTGCATGCTTCCTGTGAGATCTACAGTCACCTGCCTTGGTTTGGGATGTGCTGTTGACTACCTTCCACTCCCAGGGACTCAGATCCAGGGCAAGTGTCACGTTGCACTGGGACTCATTTTCCATGGTGAGAATGGAATGTCCCAGATCCCCATAAGACCAGCAGATAACCTGGCCCATGTTCAGCTGTCTCCTTCCACTTCCCTGGATGAGCAGATGGCAAAGCCTCCTTTCCCTGTGCGGTGGGGACTTCTCTCTGAATCATCTTGATCTGCAGCAGTGCGCCTGGCTCAGGTGGGGAAGGGTTAGCTCCCTTAGCTCCCAGAAGGAAGCCAAGGGACACCTTTGCCCACACTATGTTTTACATTTTTACTTTGTTTTAGATCCATGGAGATTTTCAAACTTTTAGAAACATAACCTCCCCCATCCCCTTAGCTTTATTGAGATGCAACTAACAAATGAAAATTTTATAGTCTATCCTGTGCTGTTTTGATATTTGCATATAGTGTGACTGATAAACGCAGGCTAGATAAAAAAATGTATAAATCATTCTACGTTGTTATGTCTGGAGTGTGGATAGCAAGAGCATTCAAGATCTATTGTCCTGGGCTGGGGAGATGCCCAGTATGTAGAGTGTGCAAACATGTGAAGACATCTCCTAAAGTACAACATCTGAAATCCTCTGGCCTCACCTGCACACGTGTGAACATGCACACACCTAAGACCTGCTGTCCTGGTAAATGTCACATATAGCTTTCTCATGGTGTTCACAAAGGTATCTGTTCCAGCAGCTCCACTGTTAACAGAATTTAAGAATGTGCAATCCCTTTGTGTGAAATGTAAAGGCTTTCATCTATCAACTAGAGCACCCTCCTCTATTCATCAAGTGGTCTAGATTGCTGATAGAAATACCGTGTTAGCAGTTGCTGCACTATATATTCATGGAGTGATGACACAAAGAAAAGCCTGTATGTGTTTGGGCACAACTTATGTTTGAATATTTTCGGGCTGTAGTTGGCTGACTCCATGGATGACAGAACCTGGGGTGGGCAATGTGATTTTTTTTTCTCCCCATTGTTCCCATGTTGTGCCTTACATCTTCAGGTTTTCTTTTCCCTGAATAGCTGGAACTTTGAGCTTTGAACCTAAACCCCATGTCCTCTAACCTACTGGTGTGTTGCACTGTAATCCTGTCTTCTGCTTTTGAGAGTTCAAGTTCTAGATGACACGTTTACATAAGATGATGAAAAGTGTGCTCTCCAGTGCCCCGCATGGTGTCCTCCAGTTTCATCCATGTTATCACCAATGAAAAAGGCAGAATAATGTTTCTTTCCAAAGAAAGTATATATGCGAAAACGTGTCACGTGTGTGCACATACATGTGCATGTGTATATACTAAATGTATTTTCT